ATAAGCATGCCAACCGATGCAAGCGCGGTGGCCCAGCACCGTCTTTCCAACCGCGACGCGCGCGCACAGGTCCGCGTCTGTGTGCTTCTCGCGTCGGCACGGGGCCCCCCCCGTTTTTCCTCCCGCGTGCGGAGCGCGCCGACCCCCGGGAGATCCGCGGGGACCTCCGACGGTTCGGGTTCCCGCCCGCATCGGTCTCCCCAAACGCTTGGCATCGCTCGGACGTGTGCATTTTTCCTTCGGCGAGGACCATCGAGGAGCATCCTTGATCACTTGGCGAAACAACGCACGCGCGAAACCGAACAAGACACAGGGAATGGACGTCCGAGCGATGGCCAGAACAAGCCGCAAGCAGCTGGCCTTCTGCCTGCGTGCGGAGGGATGGCGTGCTACGACCGGGCCTCCGTCGTGCTGTCGGAGGCGCGGGTTCGCGACACCGTAGATGTGTCTTTCGGTGTCGAGCTGCCTCCGCTGTCCGAGCGATGCGGGTTCTCGCGGCTGGCCGGGCCCGCTGTTTGGTCTCCTGAGCAGAGGCCGCAGCAGTCCTCCCAGATCCTGGAGCGACCTTTGACGATCCAGATGTTCGGAGGGCCGTCCAGCTGGCGCTGCCGCATCGGCCCTTGCCAGACGGTCGTCCACGGGACGCCAAGCGCACCCCTGGACGGACGTGCTTTTGGGGAGGATTCCTCGGGCCCGCTTCGTGGCGCCCGAAAGGCCAGGCTCGGGCGCACGCCAGTCCTGGAGCCGCGGCCGCTGCGACACCTCACCGAGGGGTGCGCAGGTCGTAGGTGTCCGCGGGGGCCCGAGGGAAGGGAGGGTCGACCCCAAAGCAAAGGCGCCACCCCACCTGCGGCCCTCCATGTTGCCCTGCGGCCCATCGGGCACAGTGGCGCATACCACGCAAGAACCCACGCCAGATCTACTTGTATGCAGGAAGCCCCTGGGGCCGTAGTCAGGAGGGGGCAAACACACACAGACACACTTAATGGTCGGTTCCCCAGAAGATATGGGAACATAGGGGAAGCCGGGGGGAAGACGAAAACCCACAAAACATTGGGAAATATGGGGAATCCTGTATTTGTGTGTATTTATTGGAGGAGGAGGAGGAGGAGGAGGAGGAGGAGGAGGGGGAGGAGGCCTCTTCACGTAGGTGGGGTGGTGCCGTTTGTTTTCTGGTGCGGCGCGGCCCCCCTCCGAGCGCCGCGAGCGCCCCTCGCCGCGGCCGCGGCGCGCGCGGCCGAGCCCGCGCAGGCTCAGCGGACGCCACCGCGCGCGGCTCTCACTGGACGTCAGTGCGGCCGCAAGGGACGCCGCCGCCGCCTCGTCCTCGACGTCCTGGTCGTCGTCGTCGTCGTTGCTCACCTCCCCTAGCCTCCTCCTCCTTCTCCTCCTCCTCCTCCTCCTCCTCCTCTTCCTCCTCCCCCTTCTCCCCCTCCTCCTCCTCCCCATCCTCTTCCTCCTCCTCCTCTTCCTCCTCCTCCTCCTGCTCCTCTTCCTTCTCGTCTTCCTCTCTTGAGGCCTTCTTGGGCCGCCCTGGGGCCAGCTTGAGCCGTCTTGGGAGCATCTTGGGCCATCATGGCGGCCCTGGTTGTCTGTCTCGGCCGTCGCGGAAGCTCGTGAGCGCGATCCACCACTTGTTTCTCGTGATCGTGGTGTCGGGAGCGCGGGCCCATATTCTTGAACAAAGGATCGTGACTCGGGGAGCGCGGCCCCTTTGTCTTTGAGGAGGGCTTGTGACCCCCGGGAACGCGGACCAGTAGTTGTTTTACGATGGATCTACACGCCCTCTTCAGGCAGCACTTGGCTTTCTACCACACTTCAACGCTCCAGGGAGCATGGTGGCAGACCGATATCACTACCCATATGCGTACATACGTGTACATATGTATATAGATTTAGATATAGATCTATAGACCTATGTACTCATATTTCTTGATATGTCCATGTACGTATGTATTTATATATATAGATATATTTATATATATTCCCCAAACAGTGCTTTCACGTATGGGTTCTTGCTCTTGGTCAAATGGAACTGGGCCTGTCTGGCGCTCTGGCCACCATGTCGCCGCCGTCGCCGCCCCGTCGCCGCCTCGTCGCCGCCCGTCGTCTGGGGCTGTCTGGCGCTCTGGCCGCCATGTCGCCGCCGTAGCCGCCCCGCTGCCGCCTCGTCGCCGCCTGTCGGCTGGGGCCGCCGCCCGTCGTCTGGGGCTGTCTGGCGCTCTGGCCGCCATGTCGCCGCCGCCCCGGCTTAGACTCTCTTTCCAAAACTTGGCATCGCTCGGACGTGTGCATCTTTCCTTCGGTGAGGACCATCGAGGAGCATCCTTGATCATTTGGCGAAAAATCCCCCGCACGAAACCGAAACGGGCGACTTTCTCGTGTTGGAGTTTACATACGGTTCTGCCCAATCGTCCATCCTGCGTACGAGTCCGTACCATCCCAGGCAGGCTGGTCTCGCCCACCCTTCATCCGCTGCAAAAAGACGGTGTGCGCGCATTCGTTTATCACAATTCATAAATTTTCAAGAACCCTTTGCAAACAACGGGACGAAGTGCACACGGGCGCGTCGTCGCGCGGCCATGCCGAAATCTTTCAAGAACCTTAGGTTTCGCAAGGATGTCAATCGAGAGCCACGGGCACATATTCAAAAAGCACGTGGTTTCGCAACAAGGGTTCAAACAAAGCCTGCGCCCGCGATCCTGCGAATCCTTACGGGAACCTTATTGTTTTCAACGTTTTCATAACTTGCTGCCAAACGGGCCTCTCGCGTGCGCATGCCGGATTTGTTTGAGCGCCCTTGCGCGCGTGCCGTCGCGCAAATCCCTTCAAGAAATGGGACGGAGTCTCGCGCGCGCGTCGTCGCCCGCGCATGTCGAAGTGTCATCAACAACCCTAGGTTTTGTAAGGATTTCAAACACGAGTGTCCCGAACAAATATCATCACACTTTGCAGCATCAGTTTTTATAACAAATCCTGCGCTCGCGGTCGTGCCCATTCTTGAGAAACCAAAAGTTTTCCAACCTGTTCATAATATTCTGCCAAACGGGCTTCTCGCGCCGCACGTCGAACTCATTCGAACGCCCTTGCGCGCGTGCTGGGGGGGGGCGGGGGCACGATCCGTGTCAAATCGTACCACGCCGGCCACTCGCGCGCGTCAGCCGTGCGCGCATGTCGAACTCTTTCGAAAACCTCCATCGCCGTCGCGAGGACATCATCATTATCGTAATCGGCGGGCGTGATCAACATCGGTGCTGTCCTTGGCCTTGCCGTCGTCATCGCCACCATGGCCACCAGCATCGTTACTCTCGTAATCGCGTCTACCGTTGTCGGCGTCGCCATGATGCCGCGCCCTGCACTGAAGTGCCCGCTGGGAAGTGCCCAGCGGTCAGCGCCACCGGCCGAGTCGGTCGCGCCAAACTAGCTGGCCGCTGTGCGCGCGAGCATTCGCGGGCTGGCGTGGCTACCAACGCCAAGCACTCTTCGCAATCGCCGCCGCATGCGTTTTGCAAACCAAGTTGCGGGTGGGTGGGTTGGATTTTCGCAAGAGCATTGGGTTTTTCAAGTCGTTTGTAAAATCAGTCGCACCATATTAATTGTATCGAATGGATTCTCCTGTCTAGAAGAATGATAGGATATACCTCCCACCCCCACGCGCACGGAATTAACGGCCGCCCACTGCGTACGTATTGCAATGTACGTACGACTCTCCCCCATTTTCCATCCTAAACATGAGTTCGTACCGTCCCGAGCAGACCGGTATCGCCCCTCCCTCCCCCCACTCATCCCTTGAAACATAATTTACGCGCGCACATTCGCAATCATCACCCGCTTACAAAAAAGCCCTAGCAATTACGCTACCGAGGACCCCACATACTTATAATAGGGTTGGCGTGTTGATAGCTGAAGTGAAACATGCAAACATGATGCTGGTGGCCGTTGTCCCGCCGATGCCGCTGGTGACGCCTGTCGAACCTTGGGGGCTTGACGCGCTGTGCAAACAGAAGCGAGGACTGCGCCGAAGAGAAGCTTCTTTGTATCGCACAGGAAACGGTTCACGCGCCGCCGCTTCGACAGAAAATCCCAGGGACAAGCTCTGCTTACGCGGGCCGCCCAAACAATGCTGGTCGGGGCTCTTCGCGCGAGACGCAGCCTGTCGACAGAAAACCTCGAGTCTGCACGCGCGCGAAGCTGCGTGAAGGAGTGGCGAAAACGTTCGGCATACAGCTTCCTCCAGTGTCGAGAATGTGCCACCCCTGCCACGGTCGCCGACCCTGGCGCGCATAGGGGCCGCGCTGATGGACCACCCCGTGCGCACCTTCCGCGGTGTCGAGAAAGTGCCACGCCCGCCACGCATTCCGACCCTGGCACGCAGAGAGGCCGCGGGCAAGGACCACCCGATGCGCACTCCCTCCGGTGTCGAGAAAGTGCTACGCCTGACACGCTCCCCGACCCTGGCGCGCATAGGGGCCGCGCTGAGAGACCACCCCGTGCGCGCCCCCTTTGGTGTCGAGAAAGTGCTACGCCCGCCACGCTTTCTGACCCTGGTACGCAGAGAGGCCGCGGTGAAGGACCACCCGATGCGCACTCCCTCCGGTGCCGAGAAAGTGCGACGCCTGCTGCAAGGATGAATCGGAGGTGGATAGACATCCTACCCTGACGCGTCGATTAGCGAATTGGCCGTTTTCGGTTCGTCAGAGGGCGTCGCGGCCGTCATTTTTGCGGGTCCAGGTCCGTCAGTTTCGGTCTTAGGCGTTTTCATTACAAGGCTGATTTACTAAAGTGAGGTTTGTCCACCGCCGATTGAACGATCCACTGGGTGCCAGAGACCAGTGCCGACGACATCGCGACGCGAACCTGCCGTACCAGCTGTTGCGCAGGGCGTTGCATTCTGAGCTCGCGTTGTTTAGCCGCGTGTTTGGTTCAGGGCCCTGGCTGCCAGATGCTACAGCAATGTTGTCGCCAGTAGTTCGGCAGTGCGTTCGCGTAGCCTTGTTGCCATGGCCCTCTTCCAGCGAGGCATTTCCTTCTTCCATCAATTTGCCAAGCCTGAGCTCAAACTCGTCCCGCTGGAGGAAAGGTCGAAGCAGAACGCGGCTCCAGAGTTGCCAGAGAGACCTGCACACCGTGGAGTGCTGCTCGGGTCGTTGATGTCTTTCATATCGGTCACGGCCTTCGCCATCGGCATTCCGTTTCTGCAGACCAGGCGGGACGCCTTGGGGTGCGATGCGCTGTGCCAGGGTGGGCAAACTTCGCTCCGCTCGGCGCTGAATCTGGTTGGTGCCTCGCTCATCGGAAGGGCGTCTGACCAGTTCGGACGCCTGCCGATGCTTTGGCTCGGGCTTGTCAGCTCGCTGGCGACCTTCGGTATCACCTACAGTATCAACACGCTCCAAGGCATGTGGATCGCCATTGTTCCTTCTGGGCTGCTGGACCACAGATGGAACGTGGCCAAGGCGCTTCTCACCGACTACACCACGGAGCGTTGTGGCGACGACGCAGACCGCGCAGGAGCGGTGGGCAAGCTGGGGATGGCCGTCGGCATGTCATTCATGGCTGGGCCGATGATTGGCACGCTGGTCGTCACGACGCACGAGGAGGCCCTCACACTCTCGATGGTTCTCACCATATGCTCGGGTCTTTTCATTGCGATGCTGCCCGTGCCAGCCAGGCAGGTGCAGCATCAGACGAAGTCGTCGTCTGGGATGATGGACTTTATGAGGATGCCCGTGCTGAGGACGCGGGGTGCGCAGCTGCTCATAGGGGTGCGCTTCCTGATGGCGCTCGCCTTCCACATGTTCGCTCCAGTTTGGCAGGTTTGCACTAGAGCGCATAAGCTTCGTCAACACAACGCACGAGCACGCACACGCCTGCGCCCGGCCGTGCGCCCGCGCACCCACGCACACAGCCCGCACAAACACCCAGACTGCCTTTTTCCTGGCACCGCACACGCCGTGCTTTATTGTGTATCCCGACAGGTCTCGCTCAAAGCTCGCTTCGACTTCGGTCCCAGGGACCATGCCCAATTCATGGGGATGGTGGGCTTCTGTTACGCACTCAGCCAGGGCGTCGTCTCCAAGCCGCTGATCAAGCTGGCGGGCAGGGACCCGAGCAGGCTCATCTTGCTCTGCATTATCGCCCTCGGTGGCTGCCGGCCCTTCGCGCTGTGGACCACCTCGGTGGCGGTGGTGTATATGCTCTACGTGCCAATGTTCATTGCTCTAGGCGTGCTGAACACGGCCATCACCACCGCCTGCTCTTGCCTGGCGGACGGCGATCAGCTGGGAGGCTTCTTCGGCGTGATGGAGTCGGTCGAGAGCATCGCTGGCATGGTCGGCCCCACCATCGGCGGCCTGGCTGCCGCTCGCCACGCCGACCTGCCCCTCGCCGCCGTGTGCAGCAGCTACGCTGCCGCCTTCGTCCTCGTGCTGCTCTTCTTTGGCAGGCACGTTGCCCAGATCACGCCCGATGCGCCGACTGGCAGCAAGAAGGACCAGTGACGTGTGGCAGCGGGGGGAGGGGGCGGTGGCTGCGGGCGGAGCAGCAGGTGCCCTTCTGAGTATCAAGGGTAGGCTTCGCCTGCACCGATCGCGTGGGCCGCGGCGTTGCTCATTGGCCTCCAGATTCCGGCGGGGGTATTTGCCAAGATGCTTTTAGCCTAGCGCGCCTAGAGAAGCGAAGACCGGTTTCGGACGATTGGCGTTGTTTCCAGGCAGGAGTCAAGTTGAACCGACTTTCTGGGAAGGCGCCTAACAAGGCTTATCATTCTGACCGTTGTGGTTCACTCCATGCCCGCATGATCCCAATGATCTTCCCTCATGCGGCTGCCCAGGGGGAGGACAAGGACGAGGAAAGAGTAATAAGAGGAAATAAGGAAGCGGGCGATGAGGAGAAGGTGGAGGAGGATGACGATGGGGGAGGACCGGCAGGGGTGAGAGGTGGAGTTGGAGGCGGGATCGGGAGCGAGGAGGGAGGTGGACAGCGAGACGTTGCGTACAGTCGGGGTCGATTAGCAGGTCGACCCTGCCAAATCAAGGGTACCCTTGCCTCCTGTGTTCCGCGACCCATGTCTTCCACACTCCTACGGCAATGCGGCCCTCGGAAGGGTCTTGAGTCCTCTGGAGTGTCCTCTCCAATCAACCCTGACTCGAAGGGTGTCTCTCAGGAGGGGAAAAACACACAGACACAATGAATCGTCCACTCCCAGGAAGATATGGGGAAATATGGGAAGTGGGGGGGAAGACAAAAATGCAGAAAATATGGGAAAATATGGGGAATCCTTTCATTTGTGTGTATTTATTTGTATGTCCCAGGGCCCCTTCAGCCCACCCAGTCAGGCAGCACTCCGCAGATGGGGCGGGGCGGCAGGGCCGTCTGGCGGGGGCCGCCTGCCGGCGCCGACACGTCCGACCTCGCGGCACGCCTCCCGCCGTGCCTCCAGGTGTCTTCGCGACGGTCGCACAGCAAAGTCAGAGCCAGCAGCAAGGACTCGAAGAACAAACAAGCACATTGTCTTGGGGGCCTCTTGGGCCGTCTTGGAGTTCACGTTGGATGATCCTAATCTAGAGGATAAGGGAGCGTTGTATTTGTTGTGTTCCTTGCTCTGTGTTTCGGCAGGTGGGGGTGCACCTGCTGCCATGTGTTTTGTTGGTTAACCGAGGAGCTGAGAACTGTGCCCACCGGGCAGAATGCTTGGATTTTGCCTGCGGTGGGGTTGCGTGGTCTGATTGGCTACCGATAGCCTTGCTTTTCAGGGACGTGTTGCAAGGAGGGCGTCTGGCCGCCTTAGGCCGCTCTGCCGAGCGTCGTTGCTTCGGCCACTGGGCCAGCGGGTTCAAGAGTCTCCTCCTCCCTGCGGCCTCCTCCCTCCCTGCTCTGTCCTTCGTCCTCATCCCTCTCTCCCTCCTGCTCCCCCCCTGCTCCATTGTCCTCGCTCCATACTTGTCCTCAAACCTCCCTCCTCGACACTCCAGGCTGTTGGTGGATCGTGCGTTCTGTGGGGCATGCCCCCAGGCGGCTCAACGAAGACGAGGCCGTCAATCTCCCACCCTTCTCCCGACTCCTCCTCCCTCCTTCAACTCCCTCGCCTGCAGGTCTCCACTCGTCTCTGAAGGTCCTCGAGGTCGCTTGAATCCTTTACTGTCAGACCTCATAGTAAGGATGAGTAACTTTCCAAGGTTGCCCTTGCATCCTTCCCCCTCGGCCCATCCTTGGCCGCCTTCGCTGGCTGCGCCCCGCTCGCAAAGTGTCGACATGACCTTCCAAGGCCCTTGTATCCTTATTGTGCGTCCTTATGATATGGGTTGGCTGTGGAGCCGCTGCATCCAACGACCGCCTGAGGAGGAGGAGGAGGGGGAGGAGAAGGAGGAGGAGCAGGAGGAGAAGGACGAGGAGGAGGAGGGAGGGGGAGGAGGAGGAGGAGGAGGAGGAGGAGGAAGAGGAGGAGGAGGAGAAGGGAGTAGTAGTAGTAGTAGTAGTAGTAGTAGTAGTAGTGATAAGAATAGTAGTAGTAGTAGTAGTAGTAGTAGTAGTAGTAGTAGTAGTAGTAGTAGTAGTAGTAGTAGTAGTAGTACTATTATTATTATTATTATTTGTAGTTGTATCAGTAGTAGTAGCAGTAGTAGTAGTAGTAGTAGTAGTAGTAGCAGCAGTAGTAGTAGTAGTAGTAGTAGTAGTAGTCGTAGTAGTCGTAGTAGTCGTAGTAGTAGTAGTAGCAGTAGTAGTAGTAGTAGTAGTAGTCGGAGTAGTAGTAGTAAGTTACTTTCTTATTCGTCAGTAGTAGTAGTAGTCGTAGTTGGTAGTAGTAGTAGAGTAGTAGTAGTAGTAGTAGTAGAGTAGTAGTAGTAGTATTTGTGTAGTAGTAGTAGTAGTAGTAGTAGTAGTAGTAGTAGTCTAGAAGTAGTAGGAGTCGTCGTCGTCGCCTGTCGTCGTAGTAGTAGTAGTCGTAGTAGTAGTAGAGTAGTAGTTAGTAGTTCTAGTCGTAGTAGTCGTAGTAGTGTAGTAGTCGATGGGTAGTCGTAGTAGTCGTAGTCGTAGTGTCAGTCGTAGTCGTAGACGTAGTCGTAGTCGTAGTTGTAGTCGTGGTCGTCGTAGTAGTAGTTGGTTGTAGTCGTAGTCGTCGTCGTAGTAGTAGGAGTGGTAGCAGCAGCAGTAGTAGTAGTAGTAGTAGTAGTAGTAGTAGTAGTAGTAGTAGTAGTAGTAGTAGTAGTATGTAGTAGTAGTAGTAGTAGTAGTAGTAGTAGTAGTAGTAGTAGTAGTAGTAGTAGTAGTAGTAGTAGTAGTAGTAGTAGTAGTAGTAGTAATAAGTAGTAGTAAGTAGTAGTAAGTAGTAGTAAGTAGTAGTAAGTAGTAGTAAGTAGTAGTAGTAGTAGTAGTAGTAGTAGTAGTAGTAGTAGTAGTAGTAGTAGTAGTAGTAGTAGTAGTAGTAGTAGTAGTAGTAGTAGTAGTAGTAGTAGTAGTAGTAGTAGTAGTAGTAGTAGTAGTAGTGGTAGTAGTAGTAGTGTAGTAGTCGTAGTAGTCGTAGTCGTAGTCGTAGTCGTAGTAGTCGTAGAAGTAGTAGTAGTAGTAGTAGTAGTAGTAGTAGTAGTAGTAGTAGTAGAAGTAGCAGTAGTAGTAGTAGTAGTAGTAGTAGTAGCAGTCGTAGTAGTAGTAATAGTAATATATGTGGTAGTATTATAAGTAGTAGTAGTAGTAGTAGTAGTAGTAGTAGTAGTAGTAGTAGTAAGTAGTAGTCGTAGTAGTTGGTAGTGAGTTAGTGCGGTAGTAGTAGTAACAGTAGGTATAGTAGTAGTAGTAGTAGTAGTAGTAGTAGTTAGTAGTAGTCGTAGTAGTGTCGGCACTTCGTTATTTTTATTATTATTATTATTAGTAGTAGTAGTAGTAGTAGTAGTAGTAGTGGTAGTGGTAGTGGTAGTGCGTAGTAGGAGTAGTAGTTTTAGTAGTAGTAGTAGTAGTAGCGTAGTAGTAGTAGTAGTAGTAGTAGTAGTAGTAGCGTAGTAGT